GGTCTGTGAGGCAAACTGCAGGGCGCAGGGGCAGATAACAGCACCGTGGACTCACGCACATTATCGCCCACTAGACGTGGGTGGGTGGCACGTCTGCAGACACAGCTGAGGTGGGGGCCGGGGAGGGGGGGCACCTGACCAAAGGCACAGCCCGTCACTTTAAATTAAAAAAAAGTAGGAATTTTGATCGTATTATAGTTAGAGATATCACACAAATGTACTGATACACACCGATACTGTAGCTTAGATATACTGTACTGTAGCATATATTGACCTCATAGGTGGATGATACAGGGTATATTAAGTGTCAGCCTCTTGTCACAAAAACAAGCGTCGTCACGTATGAAATATTGATCTGGTTAAGGATCAGCTTACACAAACGAGGGGTCCTCATAAAACTGTCAACACGTGAACTGCTGTTAAAGCTGCCGCCATTCAGGAGCAGTGACAGCCCAAAGTGCAACACGCACGCACGCACGCACACACACACACACACAGAGGGTCCCCCATAGCTCATGAGAGTTGATGTTTATATCGTCCGTAAGTAGAATAATGCTGTCTTGTTTTACTCGGCTCATAAATCACAGCTCAGCCCTTTAATAGGCAGCAGCGAAGTAAACACGACAGAGAACAAAAGCCAGACCAGCCGCTGCCGCTCCGTGTGACAAGAAAACAAAAAACAAAGCAAAAAAAGTCCTCATAAGTATTCATATGGCTCCCTCTCGAGCAACAAGCCCGCCTATCGTGGGCCTTTGATGCCACCGTTTTAATTAAGCTGTGTGAACACGTGTTTATAATGATAGCCCATTTCTGAACTCGTGTTTACGCCTCCACCCCCCAAAATCCCATCAGGTTTCGGGGCTGAGAGATCAGATTAATATGAATGAACAAGTTAGATGATCTGATCGGTGCGATGCTGCCATATGGTGTGCTGCACATCATTAACCTGTCAATTTGGGGGTAAAATGATGAACATCGTGATCTTTTTTTTTCCCCTGCTATTTTCATCTAAATGGGAGTAAATTATAAATTATGCATCTCTGCAAACATCTCCATTTGATAGTTAAATAACAAGATGCTGCAGCCATATGTCTGCACATTTTGTCAAATTTCATCATGCTCGGTGTACGGTAAGAAAAAACTGCCCGTTTACTCACTCCATCCAGAGCCTTTGAAGGTCTTCATCAGCACTGATAAAAGGCAAATTTAAAAGGGGACCTATGTATTGTGCTACTTTCCTATAATGAGCCTTTTATTCTCTGGTTCGGCTAGAGTAGCTTTGCATGGACTCACAGTTTGAAATAATCCTTATTTATATGACGGGCTACAGTACAAGCCTGATGAGTTCAGCCCCTTTCATTTTTAGCCAGCTTTCCACCGATTGGCTGCCCCTCACAAGCAGCAGTTTTGAACTGCGGGTCTTCTGAAGCAGATGTTTCTGGTTGGCTGGGATCACATTTATTAGTCTGATTATTTTAATATGAGTATAACTGCAACAGTATATATGACAAAAATAAGAAAAGAACACAACAACCCATTTTAAGCTACTTTACAACCCATAAGTATGTAACTTAGTTCCCACAGTCCTAATTTTACCAGCTGTGGTGATTATTAATGAACCAATTATTAGACTTATGAAACGAGCCCTCCTGCACGGTGAATATTTGATTCTTTTGAGTACGTTTTGAAGCTCAGACTCGAGCAGACTGAGACTGCACAGCTGAAATAAAATGAGAGAATCATATTCAGCTCAAAGATCTGCAGTTCAATGAAAACCGAACCTGCTGATGAAGCCTGAAAGCTCAAGGACCAGTGAGTACATGGACTGTGATTCGATTTTCATCAGCTGTTATTCTGAAGCTCTTTGTTGTTACAGAAAATAACTTCCAAGCTTGAACATAAGAGCTCAGATTCAATGTGAAATAGAAAAAAAAGCCGATTTAATATTCTGCCGGTGTTTTCCATCTATTCACAGGGCTGAGCCGCAGACGCGAGGAAACAGTCATCAATAGAAGTCACCGAAATAAAAACATAAAAAAAAACAACCGTGTATTTGTGTTTGTTTGTTTTTTGGGTGGGTTTTTTATTTTATTTTCATGTTCTACAGCAAAACAATGTTTACAAAATGGCGTTAATGGAGAAACAGCACTGCGTTGAGTGTTTAGCACCTCTGTTTCTCCCTCCACCGAGGGCACCAGGACGTACAGCATGCAAAGACAAACCCTGGCAGAGTGTCTCTGAAAGCACCGTCACGACGAGGCCATCTTTGGGCCATCGAGATGTTCTCAGATCGGGCCACGGTCCACAAAACAAATCCCATCGAGCTTCCCCACGATCCAAGAGGACATGGACGGGTTTCAGAAATATGGCAGCAAATATATCTTTGAGGTAATTTTTTTGGATCACCTCTAAGCGAGGGAGTGAGATGAGCTTATTTTGGCCAAATCTTATTGTCAACCGTGAGATCGGCTCGACAACGCAGAGAGAGGAAAAACTAGCTGCCTGGAAATGCTGCCACTGTAATTATCCAGTGCTCTGAATGAACTGAAGGGACTCGTTTCTGGACAGGACCCTGACTGAATCTGATTGGCTGCCAAATATATATAAATATATTTTAAACATCAGTGGAGGAAAACGATCCAGATGCTGAGACGGAGAAGCCCCATTCAGCCTCAACTAAAACATCCTTAAACCCCAGTGCGGGCAAATCAGGAGTGGACGAGACAGAGAAACGCCACGGGCCGTTAGACGCTTCAGGGGAGTGCAGGAGCACCGAGCTTCAGCAGCAGCCTCCCCCCCCCCACACACACACACACGCGCTTTGCCCGGGGCTCCTTCAGAGTTCACACACAAGAGCCAGCGAGCGCAAACACACTGAGGTGTCAATCAAACTAATTGCAGGCGGGCCTGCGTGACACGGGCGGGGAACGATGGGGGTGGCGGAGTGGCAGAATTGGAAATATGATAAAGGTTTTAATCAACTGCAGTTTTTGACCCAGCGCCGGCAGTGGAGAGCGTTAAGGTGAAGGAGCTCCAGGCGGGAACGTGAGGGTCACACGCACTCAAAAGAGCCTAATGAGCTTAGTTTATGAAGCCGATGACACCACATAAGAGTCTCCCTCAGCAGAACATGAAAACAAAAATTATAAACACTTCATATACATATATATATATATATATGGATGTGTATATTCATATGTATGAAAATTAAAAAAACTAATTAGTTTCATTTTTTCAGCTTTGAATGCAACTGTTTCTTTCCAGACAATAGATTTGACTTAAACAATAACATGTTCACAAAACCTCACTGTAACAAGCACAATGGCCTTTCAAAGAGTGACTTGAAGGCTGCGCCTACAGCACGGCTCGTTCATAAGGTGGCATTTGTGATGACAGAGGTCGGCGGTCATTAAAACAAAAAAGGAGCGTAAAAGGAAAACAAATATATACAGAATACAGGAACAAACTAGAAACAGCTGATCAAACGTAAGAGAGCGCCACGACTTTCAGGCGCTTAAACTGGACGAGCGTGTGTGAGTTTATCAGCTGGTGTTGGTTTTTAGAAACTCTGATGAAGCCTGTTTGTGCGCGGGTGTGCGTGTGAGAGAGTGTGTTTGACAGAAACCCTCCCAAAAAAGGTCGAGGCTTTCAGGACGATCTTAGAAAGCAGATGGAAAGAGTTGGTCTGCGTTTGTAAACGCTCGGGCCTCGTGATTCTACTTCCTGGCTCTGAGGCGGAAGAAAGGAGGCTTTTCAACCTCCTTTCACCTCAGTAGCCAATCACACAGACTCTTGTGAGCCAAAGCTTTGCGTTCCGAGTGAATTAAGTTAAACGCCAAAGGAGTGACTTAATTAGGTGCCGCTTTGCTCTCCCAAAAATGAAAACAAAAGCTTGCTGCAGAGAATTTAAGGGGGAGCAGCCTCAGGCGGGCGGACAAATATTATTACTCTTTCTGTAACGTCCAGTCAGGAGATGACGCGGAAACACTTCCAGCTTTTAAGAGGGACCACAAAGGAACTGTGTTACACAAAAAGTATCTCACTTTGGGTTTTCAACCCGCCCTTCTTTTGGATATCAGGTCATCAGGAGGCGCCTTTGTGGCGGATGTAAACAAACTTAATTTGTTGGAGTAAAAGTTGGTGCAGGAGGACGATTGCTTTGAACGTTTAATGGCGTCGCATGCTGCTGACTTCCAGTGCTATGAGGAGGGTCTTTAACACACATTGTAGTAGCAGGTAGGTAAACAGTCTTAGTTTCACCAAAAAAAAGAAAAAGAAATAAATGACACCGACTACACTAAACATGGCACCTTAACCAAAAAAAACCCAAAACAAAACGTGAAGGACAGGATAAAGTTTTTGGAGTTTTTGGTTGCAAAGTTGTCATGAAAGATAGAAGCTGTTGAGATAGTGCTGCATACACTTTAAGCTGCTGGTTTGTTTTGCTCTCTTCAGAATCACATCCCTGGTAAAGCAAAGAAACAACGAATACAAGTCGACGTGATCTGCTTTTGATTGTGTGAGAAGAAACCGTGTTTGTGTGTAGATCACTCGTATGGTCCATCTGCTTTCCCTGACTGGAAGTTGGATCTTCTGCTTTATTTGTTCTTTTTTTTTTTTGCATTGGTCATTCATCTCGTGTGTGTTTGTGTACGTGTGTGTGTCTCTTCCTCCTCCTTTCCGACCGTCCACCACCTCTTCCCGGCTATGCCACGCATGCATTCCCTCGGGGCTGTCCGGGAGGCGTGAGGAACCGGGGTAAAAGATCACCTCAAAGTCCAGAATTGGATACAAAGGGACGAACAAGTCGAAGGAAGAACAAAAACTGCGAGCTTTACCTCCACGTGCTTTTTCATAGCTTTCTTCAAACGGACTTCAGAGAGTTCCCTTCTTCTTTTGGATATAAAAGTGTTTTTTACTCTAATCTTTTGAGAAAACACACACTTAAAAAAAAAAAAAATCATTTGGCCTTTTTCTCGACCCCCTTCTTTGACAAGACTTTCATTTAAAAACCAGAGCTGTACAAAACATAGAAAGATGCAACACTGAACCCAACATAGAAAAAAGAAAACAAAAAAAACTGCAGAAATCTTTTTTTTTCTTTACACTGTTTAGCTGCACCGAGGTTTTCCCAAAAACTGGGAAAGAAGGGAATGGCGAGCCCACGCTGGGAATCCCGGACGGCGATGTGAAAGGTGACTCTGCCGTCCTGCGGTTGCTTCCACAGCTGGAATGGTTCAGTGGAGCTGATGAGGTTGGGTGGGGTGTGGGACGGAGCCGGAGAACGAGGGCGGGGCCATAGCTTGACAGACAGTTGCGATGTTGATCTGAAGAAAACCGAATGCATGCAGGATGACGCCCCCCCCTTTCCCCCTTGTTTTCCTCAGCTGGAAAACTGCATGGCTTGTTTGTGTGGCGAGCTGCAGGGGACGATCAGTCAGTGAATCTCTGGCAGGCCTTCTTCCAGCGGCACGCGGTGCACCACATGTCGCGGTTCTCCATCCCGTACACCTTACGGCACTTCTTCCCCTCGCCACGCACCTTCCGACTGGAGGAGAGATGAAGACCAACAACACATGAAGCTGTTATATATTAACGACATAACAAACAACAGCACAACGCTTATAACACTGGGCGTTATTATTCCTGGACTTCTTGCCCAGATGCCCACTGCAACAAACTGATTAGCTCCCTTTAAGGCCAGCCTCCCTGGAAGAAAGCTTTTTTCTCACTGGTTGCCCCTCAAAGCCGCAGGAGGGTGGAGCTACTTAGGGACATCATCTAAGATGTCATAACCGAGCTAAAAGAGCAATCGCGAGTTTTCAGCTCATAGAGATTACTCATGTTTACACTGACCTCACTATTTGAAACTTTGTCCGCTATGAAAGCATACATTTGAAAACCAAAACCAGAAAACCAGGAAGACTACAACATGGTAGAGATTAACATGAACACAAATCTATCTGACATGTTTCACATGTTTGCAGATGAAGTTGCTGTCTCAGCTTGTGTGTATCTTCTTCCTGACAACAGCGTATAGTTCCTCTGTGGGGTTCAGGTCAATGGCCAATCAGGTACAGCAATAACACGGTCAGCAAAATATTTGGCAGTTTTGGTCCCAAGTCCTCCCCACAGTACTCCAATCCTCCACTACAGCTGTCTGCAAACAACCAGCCTTTACAGCAGTGACCTTCTGCGGCTCATCTCCCTGTGTGGGCTGTAGATGATCGTAGATGATCGTCATCTGGAGGACCGTAAAGCATGTAGTCTTCCCCATGATTGTGGCTGTGTTCGCTACACTAGACTGACAGGCACACACTATTTAAACCGTGTTTATAGCAGTTTACTCAAACTCGAAATGAAATATTCTAATAACATGAGATATGGTTTTTTTTAGCTGTAGGCCACAATTATCAAAGTTAAAACAGAAATGCTGAAGCATGATGGTTTCTATGTAATGAGTTTAAAATAGATTAAATTTTCACTTTCTTAAATAACTGATGGAACATATTCAACTTTTCACATTCTAATTTTTTGAGGTGCGTCCATATGTTGGAAGAAATTTCCTTTTTGCTAAGGAAAAACATGACATCTGTCTCCTCCCAGTCCCTCCATTGTGCTAAGCTAACTGTTTCTTTTTAATTACACCACTGACTGCAGAGATAGATAAACACAAATCAGAGCCTTATTCCATTTTTCAGGTTGCACCAAACAAGCTGAAAGAGAAAGATTTAATTCGACCTTTAACTGAAGCTATAACCAGTCATACGGTGAGACTCTGTGAGAGTCCAGTACCTGAGGGCAGCGGTGGCTCTGGGAGGGGACGAAAGCACTGCAATGGTCTGGGAACGTTGGTCACCGAATCCTTGGCTTTTACTGGGAGACACCTGGAGAACGAGAGCAGATCATGAATATGAGAAAGACGAGCTGCGTGAAAGCAAAGGCTGAGCCAGGCTCTCTCACCGTGGTCCCGGTGAAAGTGACGGGTGGCGACTGCCAAGAGATGCTGAAACTGGAGCTGTTGGTGGGAGTGAAGCTAGTGGACGCCGAGCCGGCCGAGTTGTTGCTGCTGCTGGACGGGATGGACACTGGAGCCGTGGCCTGAAGGCAGAGGTCAAAGGTCAAAATATTAAAGTTAAAAATATCACTATTTTTAACTTTTATTTAAATTCAGCATATTGGAATACTTTTATTTCTTTTAGTATTTGTTAATTGATGCAAAGCTTCTTTGTATTGGGATGTCAGACAGTGGTTAGTGAAATCCTCAAGCTGAACATTTTTTTCTGCTTTGAAACTCGATTTAATGATCAAGCGCCCAAAAAGCATACCTTGCTTTAATCTCTTTTTTTGCTTCCAATTAAAGCCATAATTTATAAAATTATCATTTTGTGCTCAAGACCATAAACTAATCAGAAACGTGTTAATGATGTCACAACCAACAGAGCTGAGGGTCTTTTCCCCATAGACTTAATATCAACTGGAACCAGGGGAGTCTCCCCCTGCTGGCCATTAGAAAGAAAGGAGGTGAATGACTTCCCTTTTTTTTACCCAGAAACTACACCTGTCTTTTACATACAAGCTATGTGTATACTGCAGGCTACTGATTGGCTGGAGATGGGACTTTTCCATCTTTTCTGACACTGAGTTTACCCAGAGGAGGTTTCTTTTTTTTTGGTCAGATATCTCTTTCTATTACATTTTTTTGATTAAAAAAAACCTCTTGATTTTGTTATTTTCTAGGTGAGGTACATTTTAATGGTCGGATATATATACTTTATTCAAAGAATAAAGGCAGATTATTGGCCTTTATCAGAAACATAACTACTCATGTCAGACCTAAAGTGTGCAGCTCTGCATTAATATTAGATGCACAGATATTAATGGAAAGCTAATGGCGGTTATTCTTCAAACAATAATCTGAAAACCGAGGCTAAAATAGATAAATTGTGTCATTTTTCAACCTTTAATTAATTATTCAAACCTGCTGCTTGTGTGTTGATAGACCGCAACTGTTAGCACAGCTGCTATAGGGATGGAGGGACCACAAGTCGCTGCGAGATCTTTAGTGTGTTTACGAACACTGTGACACATCGTCAGCGTAACAAGGACCTCGATAGTAATGTGTGAGAAACTGAGGGACGTATACAGAGCACATCAGTCTTCATCACCTGGTAGGCATGGTCCGTGTGGATGAGGTAGAGAGCGCTGGGTGCAGAGCGGCTGAGCGGCGTGGTGCCGCCGGCGTGGGGCTCCTTGGTGTCAGAGGACTGAGTCGGTTTATGGGAGTCTGGCAGCTGGCTGACCGAGGGGAGAGGAGACGGGGGAGGAGGCGGGGGAGACAAGACAGAGGGCGAAGCTGGGGACAGGCTGCTCAGCCCGTCGGCCACCGAGTCCGTGTTCAGCTTAATCTCCGTGTAGTAGAAGTCCTCCTCACCGTCGCTGAGGTCTGAGTCACAGTTACGACTGAGAGACGAGCACAGGGGCAGGACAGACAGAAATACATCATGAATGTAAACCTCCACCTAAAGGTCAGGTTAGCCATCTATCCAGCATCACTGGGACATATTACTCTGCTGATAACCCGTAAGTCATTAACCAGAGGCAGGATATGAGCAGCAGAGCAGTTTTTGAGGCTTTGAGTGGACTTTATCTCAGGTGTGTATGCACACCGTCTGTGTCTTACCCCAGGTGGATGGTGCGGATGTGTCTCTGAATGCCAGCGGCAGTACTCAGCACCTTGCCACAGTTCTTCCACAGGCACTTGAACATCACCTTCATGGAGTTCTGCAGGAGACACACAGCACATCAGTGTTTCGCTGGCGCTCTGATGCCAACTTCAAAGAGTCACACGCAACAACTGCAGGGTACATAACAAGAAATCATACACATGAAAGCTTCTTTTCTCTGAAGGATGTGTTTTTAATATCTGCCATTAACACAGAAAAAGTTTATCTGCACCACAGACATGTTCAGATAAAGGTTACAGAAAAATATTTTTTTTAGGTTATAGAAAAACTCTCTTTTTCATTAACGAGCAGGTGTACCTAATCAAGTGGACAATGTACAGTATAAACTCACTGATAACAGTCTTAAACCAACAGTTGGTTTAAGACTGCACAGAAATGAAAATTCGCTCAGGTAGCAAAGTAGGTACAAAAAAATATATCCACTGGTTATTATATATATATACTATTATTTCCATTTAAAAAGTGTAAAATTTAAATTGCAACTTGCTCTTTCTTTTGCACATCACATGCCATTTTATTTTAAACGAACAAACACATACATAGAAATCACAACATTCTGATGTAGGGGCTGTTTTTGGAGTAAAATAACCATAATTTACAAAATTAAAGCGATATATGGAGATAAATGTAATTTCTCAGATTAAACATGCTGCTGCACTGCCTCGCTAACTGTTCAACGTCATACCTGTCCTAGATTAAAATGCGGATATGCCATGTTTACATTGGGAATTTAAAGGATTTAAAGGACTTTAAAAATGCAATCTCCTTCAGAGTGATCATTTTATGATACCATATTTAAAGTCTTTGCGTTACACTATAAAGTGTCACTTTGAAATGATGTAGATTAAAACCAGGGGGGAAAACAAAATAGACACACAGCTTTAATGCAGCATCTATCTCTGGTGTTACCGTGAACACAATGGCGGTGATGCTCCAGTGTCTCTGATCTGCCTAATGTAATTAAACCTCCGGCGTCCTACAGAGGCCGTGTATTGTTTTCATGGAGTAAAAGAGCCCCATGAACTTCCTCCCTGCCCTCCTGCACTCTCGCTCCGAGCTATTATAAACGGTCTTATAGCCACGTCTGTCAAGCTATTGTTACGCAGGCTGATTTAACTTTGACAACATGTTTTATTTCTAATTTTCTCTCTCTTTCAGAAACACACTCTCACACACACACACACACACACACACAACAATCACGTGCCCCCCTTCCCCGATTGCATTGTTTTGTCTTTGCGTAACAAAAGCTGATTTTGTGTGTTGGCGAGCGTGTGCGCCCCTTTAAAGCAACATTTCACAGTTAATTAAATGGGGAGCCTCAAACGGTGCGGGGCTGCCAGGAGAAAAACAAGAGCACGCGAGTAGCATGTAGATAAGTTCACGAGGAAGCCTGGCATCTGCACGTATAGATTGTGTGAGTGCGACTTGTTAAGCCAACATTATAGGAGCTTTCGGAGACGCTGTTCATGCCTCCGTCTGCGCTCTCGTCCTTTTTCATGTAATTCCTGTTAGTCACTCTTTAATTTTTCATCCACAACCTTCATCTCTCTTCCCGTTTCTCCCTCTCTTTCTCCTCCCTCCACGCCCTTCTTTGTGATCTTCCCAATTATCCGAGTACACTGCGCCAACGTGGAGCTCACTAAAGAGTCTATCGATTTTTTTCCCCCCTTGTCTTTTCTTTTTTTTTTTAGAGGGCCGGCAGAATCTTTTCTGTTTGCCGTTGAGGGTATTGAAATCATTACTGTGTTTTTGAGAGGAGCTACACGCGAAGGCTGAGGAAGTAATTATTAAGGACAAATGTCTGGGGAGGACACACTCAAGCAGCGAGAACGGAAGAGAGAGGGGAGAAAACAGAGGCGAGAGCAGGGGAGAGGAAAGAATGAAAGGAGGGGTAGATGGATGATACCGTCGGCACACTGGCACACAGGAGCGCCGATAAGCAGAGGAGAGCCCCGAAATGAAGGCAGAGAGAGAGAGAGAGAGAAAGAGAGACGCAATATACGTCGGACAAAATAACGAGTGACAGCGTGGTGTAGATGTGATGAGCTGTCAGTGGCGCGTAGTGATGAGACGAGGTGAAATGATTAGTGTGAAAGAAAGTCTGTGTGTGGCGAGGACGCGTGACACGAAACTCAAGATCGGAGCAAAAAAGGCTTTGTGTCCTTTCCTGTCCAATTTCCCTCTCCGCCTATCAGTCAGAAACTAAATTACATCGGTAACCTCACAGGTTAATATTACAGAAGAGAAATCAACCAGCTCATGTACACGTGGCGGGATCTCAAAGACAAGTTCACGACCTTTATTCTTACCTCCAGATATGCCTGCTATCAGGATCAGTGCGACTGTTTCCTTCAAAAAAAGCTTTGAATGCACCACACGGTAATAAAAGTGAAGCCACAAGTGGGACAAAAGCACCTGGAAACATACCATCATATCTCCTTCCCTTAACCCCGTGATGATTAACTACTAACAGTGCTGATGTTTAACAATAAAAAACTGCTACCATGTTAATATGGGTGTATCAGAAATAACCCAGTGCTGATAACTCCCTGAATGACAGTCATTCTTATTTCTCTTGATGCTGCATTGATGGCAGATGTTTATCATGTAACTTGGCTGCTGATTATTATCCATGAAGCGTAACTGCTTTTGTACAGTTAAAGTTCTTCAACAGTATTTTGAGTCTAAAAACACACACTAACAAAAATTAAATTTAACCACTGAGTTTGGCTCAAATCTTTATTGGCTTCGTCTCTTTTCTACTAAATTTACAGAACCATCGAGATGATATTAGCATAAATTCAACTGACTCGAAAAATCGTGTTGGGAAAGTGGTTTTCATCATTTTGAAGGGGCATTTGATGCTTGTCCTTGCTTTCTGTGTATATGATTTTCCCCGTACAGCAGTGATACTCGCTTTAAAGATTTCAAATAACGAGGCCAACGCATGTACAAGTAATCCCTCACAGGGAGTCGGCTCAGGCTGCTGTTTCATGTGTTTTTTGTCCTACTCTTGGCTCTGTCATTGAGTAAGGATATAGCTAATATGATCACCTCAGTGTCCTCACCCTCCTCCACCCTCTCTTTAAAAGAAATGTGCCTTAAAAAGACATCTGTGTCAGGCAGGGGAAGCGCATCAAGATCACAGGGCGAGAGGCAGGGTACACCCTGGACAGGTTGCCAGTCTGTCACAGGGCTAACACAGAGAGACAGACGACCATTCACACTCACATTCACATAATCTAGATAATCTAGAATCACCAATTAACCAAACCCCACTAAACTCTTGTCTTTGGACTGAAGCCAGAGTATCCGGAGAACCCACACAGGATTTTTACCCAGCTAAATGGTATTCACCTTGCGCTTGCGAGGGATGGGCTCATCAAAGAGCAGGCTGCTCCCGTCCTGCTCATCCAGAATGGGGTCTTCAGGTCCTGCGGGGCCAGGCCCCACCCCTCCCAGGCTGGGTACACGGAAGGGCTTGAAGCTGTCTGCAGAGAGCGGTGGGGATGGTGTGGAAGGGTTGGACTGATCGCTCGGAGCAGACCAGCTCCAGTAGCCCCCCGAGGAGCTGTTGCTCGATGGGGTGAAGGGTCCGGCCGAGCCGTTGTCTTTCCACGATCCACTCAGACCCTCTGAAGACACAGAGGAACAGGAGATGGAGAATTTATCTAACAGAAGCTCAAACTTCTTTAGTTATATCTGTAAATGCTACAAACACAACAAAGGATGAGATCAAGACATCCAATTAGGTTCAGACAGCTATATTTGCACTTCACAAAAAAAGAGCCTCCCAGAAGCAGTCTTCACTATGACACAAGAAAATAAAGGTTACTCTCCTGTTGTGTGATTCCACCGAGACACTTCCAAGGTCTTCTTTTTTTTTAACATCAAAGAAGAGTTTCTTTTGAATATCAGCCACAAAAGGCATTTCACTTAGTGAAGCAGGGGAAAACTTTGCAGAGAGTGTACATGTGTGTGTGTGAGAGACAGAGACCCAGTTTGGTTTAGTGAAGCTGCTTCCTGGCAGGGTGCCTCTCTCTTCTCTCTTCACTCGTTTCTTCGGCAGAACATTTAACATAAAAGAGGATGTGGCTCACCGGCAGCACAGGCTCTGAGTGATCAGAACAACAAGACTATTGGTTCATTTGAGAGATATCAGCAATGCTCTGTGTTCCGTGCACGTAACTACATTTAGATAAAAAGTGTACAGTTAGCATTTAAAGCCCAGTGTGTTCATCTGTGCATGACGTACGGCAGTGACACCACGTGCACGGTGGTTGGCTGCGCGTCTGCTCGGCTGAAACGACAGCAGGCTGGTTACAAAGACCGCTTAAATGGTTTCACGAGATTGCAGTTATGGGGCATTTTGGACTTCCGCCACTTTGCCGAGTGGCAGAGATCCAGACTCATTGTGCTTTTCTTTGGATTTCCACAGCTCATTGATGAGATGATCCTACAGCACAGCAGGTGGCAGTAATTTATCAACCTTAAGCTTCCACATGCATTCACAAGATAACAGCTGTGAGGGAATGAAACTCAACACACAAATTATTGGCTCAGCGACTTGTTTTAGTTCGCTTTTCATAAAACTTCTGCTATGTTATTAGAAAAATAGCCAAGTGACGCATAAAAAGGAAATATTTATTTACGGCTGTTTATTTAGTACTAATGATGCTTACCACTGACTCTCACAGGTGGGCTCCTCACCAGCGGGCTGGTAGAGAGGCTCGTCAGCACCATAGCGGCCGTCACTTTGTCCATATCCACTTCCTCCTCCGACCGCCTGTGGAAACAGAAACAAAAGAAAACTTTACTGAGCTGCTTCCAATCAGTTAAAGAGAAAGACCTTATAACTCTCTCACAAATAAGTCCAGACTATTACACTTTTTTCTTTTTAAAACGGATAACAATAAACACACTACAGGCACATTACCATTTACACGAAGCTCGAGAGCTCAACATGTGTTTGTCTTCTTCGCTGCTCGGCCCGGTGTTTTTAGAGGGAAAGCAGATGTTGAGGTTTCCATGTTGCTGCGATGACTGCAGCAAAAACTGCTAATTACATTCAAGTTGGTTTTTTTTGTTTGACTGATGCAATCACCCAGACACCATTAAGAAAAATAAACAGCTAACAGAATAAAATACAAATAGAAACTAGGAAACTGATTTACTGCACAGGATGTTGCAGGCTGCAGAGATGACACACTTCACCCCTGTTGTTAAAAAACAACAATAACAACAACACCCAGTATCATTACTGATGCATGCAAAAAAATAATAATAAAGAAATAGTGTTGCAGTATTCTGCTTTGTGCACGATCCTACTGATAAAAAAATAAAACAACAGGGCAGGATGGAAAAATGAGAGAGCGGGGACATGTAATAACATTCACCGCCTCGTCTAATGGACAGAACAAAGCACCGCTGTCACACCCACCGCTGAATACCACAGTCAAAGGCTAGATGTCGTTCTCAGTGTTTATTTTTGGAAGAGTTTTGAGGCGCACACGCTCGGTTTCAAGTTGACTCAGTTTAAGAAGCCAATAAACACAGCTGACATTGAAACTTAAGGTTACTAAATGCATCCGTTTTCTGTGTAGATACAGAGAGGAAAGAAAATGTGAGTCTAGCTTTATCTGCCAAAAGTTTTCCAGAGTGGAACCGGCCTGCAGAGAAGAACAAGGTGCGGTTTTGCTGCTTTGGCAGCAGGAATAGGTGAAAGACATTTTAGGTCAGTGTTTGGATAATTGACACCTCTCCTAAAATGTTTATACACGGAGAAAGACGACTGGTTATTTGCTAAAAGAAGAGTGCAGCTGTTTAATGACTGCCCGCTGATGAGCCACTGACAGGGTCACGTCCATGCAGCGGTGAAAACACTCAAACACATAAAGATGATCTCTACCGGGAATGCTTGCTGGAAGGTAATAAGTAAATCTGCGGTCTCAGGTGAAACGGTAACTAAATGTTAATTAAAAGCGGGTTTCATTGCCCAGAACAGCGTTCTTGCTGACTCAGAGTGGGCCTCTGGGAAGCAACAAGAGAGGAAGTGTGATCAGTCATCGATCAGCAATGTGTCAGCCACACTGGCCTAGAGACCAGTCAGGGTATGGAAACGTGTATGTCCTGACAGGTTGGTGAGTGTTTGCTGGAGGCTGCTCCCTGTTGCCAGGTGAAAGTGGTCACAGTGAGGGTGCAGCGCCAAAAAGTTCCTTGTGATCTCTTTGGTCCCTAGCAGATTGACACGGTCGCCAAGGGTTTGCATTGAAGACACCAAATGATCGGCAAAGACTCGTCATTTACTCTCTGAGCTTTAGTAAAAAAGTGTGAAATGAAATGAAAACGGAGAACGTTCACCTTAAAACTTTTAAAGCTATGCCTCAGCAAAAGATGCAGCTTTTACTTTGAAGGTGAGCGTTCGCAGTTTCTGGTTTGTGTCACACCTTTTCAAAGTTCACTGAAGCTCAGTGAGTAGTTTGCAAGCATTTGCAGTCTTTCTTGCACACCATCTACTCCTGACTGAAGCGATTGTGGGGAGGATTTTGTTCCAGCGTGATATTCCTTCTTATGACCAATTTCATGCTGGCAGCAACTTCACCAGCGACAGGTGGTCTCTAGGACGGCGTGACTAGAACTTTAGCAATCTACTTCACAGTGACTGTCAGCAACCTCCTGCCTCCGGTCAGGGAATGCTTTCCATAGTGACCAGTGCTTGCCAGGCAAATCTCTAAGGGAGTGTGTGTTACCTTTTCTGACCAAAATATGTGCATTATATGTGCATCAGACCTTTCGTAAATGACAATTATTATTATAATGCTGCCAGAAAATCATGGATGTGCTGTGACTGCAGATGAAGTGAAGTTTTTATTTTTGGCCACCGAGCGAAAGCCTGTTAGCAGCTACAAGTTCAAAAAGCTAACAGAGCTAAAGGGGATTTCCAGAGCTTTTTCTAAGAAAAGAGACTTTCAAGGGACTTTTGCAATCAGTCATTTCCCTAAAATGGATCCAGCACTGGGTCGAATGGAGACAATTTTGATAAAAAAAAACCTTTACTGATTAGATCTGAGTAGCAGTTTTCACAAACATAAAACACGTGAAGCTTTATTTAAAAGACATTTCGTGACTTTTCATTGGACAAAGAAGAAAAGAAGTTAAATATAAATGCAACGACAGGTTCACGTTGTAGAGAGGCTCTTTAATGCCAGCATCTTCTTGTCAGTAGTTTCGCTGTGAATAAACGACACTTTAAAATTTATGTGAAAGTAATTAAAAGCGTATTTACTTCACAGGGGAAAAGAAAAGAGCGATGTGAGCAGAGAACAGGAGCACGCTAACAAAGGAAGAGCCTCAGCCTCCATTAGCTGATATCTAATTTATTACCCTTTCGGCTGTTGAATATGATGTCATTACAGCCTCCACATAAATCAAGTAAAGGAGCTGCACGCACAAATGCCACTTTTACCCCTGACCCCACCCCATCTCCCCCAACCAGCCACCCAACATCACCATTAAAAAAAAAAACACTTCCTGGTCACCTTGGGAGGCCATCATGTAACTGTAGATATTATATCCACGGTAACAACGACAGACAGTAATTGCTGGGCGCTTTGTCAATCTTGAAATATGAAAGAGTAAATCCCAGGAAAACACATTAGGAAGACTCATAATTAAGATGTGATGTATGAGATGACGAGGACGAAGCTGAGAGAGCGGGAAAAGGGAATTTCCCAAATCGCATTTGTCATTAGTGGCCTTATCAAACTTAGTTTCCATCCAAGTGCTTATTATGGCTGTAATTAAACACACGGGGAGAGCATGCATGCACGCATGTGTGTGTGTGTTAGAGAGAGGCCCGTTAAAACACATGATACATGTGACACAGGAGACAGGGTGGGATGGTTAATGGATCGGTAAGTGAATTCTGAGAAATGAACTTCATACCCTGGCATGTTTGTGTGCGTCTCTGTGCGCTTTAATATTCTTACTTCACTTTATTTGTAATAAAACATCTTCCCATATCCGATCCCTGGAGCTTCCTAAAGGGAACATTATCTTGGATGTATAGCTTCATCAACAGAAAACTAGAGAGGAGGTAAAGGGCTTGTTTACTAATGCAGATTACATGAAATGGATCTATGTAATTTTATCTTGCTGCTGGCTATTCATAAATGGAAAATGAGTTTACACTATAGATGCTGTTAATGCTGCTAAACCTTTAGAGACTGATAAGGGTTTTTTTTTTTTTGTTTGTTTGTTTTTTTAAATGACCTAAACAAAGGCCGCGGACGCTTTAACCGATACTTCTGTTCAAGCAGCGTTACCAAATCGAATTACCTCTCTTCACTTTACAGCTGCCCCCGAGCTCTTTTACTCTAAAAATGCAAATATGTCACTGTTCATGGACAACCCTCCCACAAGATGATTTCACATTTACATACACTCACCTGGCACTTCACTAAGTACACCTGTTCAACACACAAACCAATCAGCCAATCACATGGCAGCAACTCAACATATTGATGCCAAGAAGATCTGCTGAAGTTCAACCAGAGCATCAGGATGAGGAGGAAAAGTGATTTTAGTGACTTTGGCTGGTATTTATTTTAGAAACTAAATAAGAGTGTACATCACTGTCCACTGACAACAGACCCATGAGATTATAAAGACACTTACAGTATCACACTTTATTTTAAAGGCAGCAGAGTAATTATAAACCTGCATGCTGCTTCTTCTTTTTTTTTTTTACCCCTTCCTGCCCTCAGCTCTAAATTTAAATGCATGCGGTAGAAAATAAATTTTCATTAAAAATAGAAAGACAGCACAAAAGATAACACAACTGTGGCTGTGTATAATTTTTTATAAACATAAATAAATAAGCTGCTGTCATTTTCTAAATTAAAAAATCTAATTATTTTGGTCTGTATGTTTTTAGGATTGTTTTTTTTTTTTTTGTTCCACCATCCACAAAAAAATAATAACAATGTTTTAAAAAATGTAAAATGTCAAACAGACTGTGTGCAATCACATATTGGAAAATCTGTAAGGACAATCCAATAAAGCAAGTGAAATATGCATCTTTCTGTGCTCTCACTGGAGCTTTATGAGAAAAAGTAAAGTCAGCAAGCTTCTTGAACCAATAAGGTGCGACGCCAAACCAACAGGAGGGTCAGGCAGGTCTCAAAATACACACAGTCCACAATCTGAAGACTCGCTTTAGTTTTTGTTGTGTTTTGATCCAGCTTACACACCTAACAGCTTGGTTAGGTTAAGAAAAATTTCATATTCTTTCAACACCGAACAAGTCAGCGAGAGCGACTCTGACAGAAAGGCTTGAGGGCAGAATTTTCCCATATGTGCCCACTCCCACACACACCTAAGGCAAGATTTTATCCTATCTTTTTTCTTTTAATTATTCACTTTATATTATTAGACAAGCTTAGACTGGTTAATGGGCTGAAGAGAACATAAAGCAAAAACAGAAAAGAAGTTGATTCGGGCTATTTGCCGTCTCACAAAGACCTGCAGATCACTGCCCGACTGCAGGGAAAATCATGAACATATGTTGGAAATGACAGATTAGAAACTAAAGAAGTTAAAATTAGAAGTAGGGATAAGACGGTGTTAACCCTCTGTGGGAATGGAGGCACAAATAAAACAACAGCTCCCTCTTCAGGGGACTGTGATGAGCTTGGATGAAGATGTGGCGGTTTGCCAATATGTGTGTGTGTGTGTGTGTGTGTGTGTGTGCGTGCAACAAGTGGTGAAACTTGTACTTCCACAGCC